TCAACCAGTCAACTCCCAAACTTAATGCCTTCCTCCAACTGCTCCAACTAAACATGATCATGGAGTTTAGTTTCTCTTGCTTTTTTGGGAGGCAAGTCAATGTGGATCCATAGGACCGCCATTTGGCCCGCATTCTTGACCGTACCCCCGAAATCTTTGATGCTTTGATGACAGTGTGTCCACGTTGGCATCTCCTGGAGCCATGGTCCAGGTAAGGCTCACAAAAGCAGGCCTTCGAGAACTAACCAGCCATTTGCGTGGAAAGCATTTCGTTGTCATGTTGCTTACTGTTTTCTAGTGCGGCCTCCCCCACATTTATATTGGCCATTAAAGCAAACATAGTTGGTAGGGGGCGGGGGCGGCTGCTAGTAGTAGTAGTAGTAGTAGTAGCAGCAGCAGCAGCAGTAGTAGTAAGAGTAATTGTAATCGGAATAGTAATAGTAAGAGTAGGAGTAATAGTAATACTAATAGTAATAGTAGTAGTAGCAATAGTAGTAGCAATAGGAATAGTACTAGTAATAGTTTAGCAGTAATAGTAACAGTAATAGAAATAGCAGCAGTAGAACGGGCATGTCTTGCTGCCTTGGGTTACATACACCACACATGGGCATTGTTTGTTACAGTCTTTGAAAGTGATTTTTGGCTTGTCTGTTTATATCATCTCCCTAGATCTCAAGCAGCCATACTGCAATGAGCTTTTATGAGCTCGGGCTTACTAGCTACTTAAGGGACGGTTGTTGCGACTGCAGCGGAAGCCTGCGAAAGTTCGGGATGCAACATCCCATGAGATGGACTGGAAATACTTGGCTGCAGAAAGGAGAGCATACTCCATTGCTTCGCTTAACGCTGGCCTGTCCCTCAAAGGTGGAACACGTAGGATCGGACTTCAGTTTTTCAGTCTTGGTTGTAAGTGTTCAAGGGATCTGGGGGATGGAGAGTGCAGATCTTTTTGTACGGTTTCGCAAGGGCTCGTTTCAAAAAAGCAAGGGGCCTTGCTCCTGAAAGCAAACAAAGCAGACAAAAAACTGTTCGAGGACCAAGGCCGTGCTGGCCTTCAGATGGGCACGGGGTTGAACGCAGAGGGGGTCCGATGCAGAACAGGGACGGGCAGCCTTGGACGTGCTGGTGACGTTTGCGATTCCCAGCACGACAACTACACTACAGGGACGGGCACCAAAAAGCCGAGCTTTCATCCTTGCGACCCAGGCCCATAAAGTTGGGGATGGCGCATGTCACAACAAGCTCCTGCTCAATTGACCACTGCCGAATACGGCTCTCATGCAAAGCCCTGCCTGCCATGTGAAGCGTTGTAACAGTCTTTTGTTGCTTGCTATTCCATCATGCAGATTCCAAGAAGGCTGGCTGAAGCTGTTTGTATGTACGCATCTGATACGATGCCATATAGCTTTTGAGGCCATTGATCAGAGTACTTGTTTTCTGGGCAGGTCCCGCCTTCTGCTGACGCTCACAACACAACTGCCACCCTGTAATTTCATTGCTTATGCTCTTGCAAAAAAGCTTCTGATGCGTGGGAGCCCCGCGATTAAATTGCAGCCGCGGCGCATACATTCATTGAATTCATTATCTATCAATGGTTTCCCCTGAATTGAGATATTTCCCATTTCTCTAAAATGAAAGACAAAACCCCAAATATAAATTCTGCCTTATCCTCCACTAAATTGATTTTTTGTTATATATACGAATTCATGAGAAAATACGAGAATCGTATAATGAGAATATAGGTATAATAGATTTTTTATAATGAATCTAATTGGATCTCTTATTTCTAACTAAGATATCTTCTTCGATCTATTGAGGTCTAGGATTTCAAAATTATTTTTGGATAATGGCAATTGATATTAGTTTCTATTATTCAGGATATATTATCTTCAAAATTTGAATATATGAAATATTTTTGATAGATTTATTATCGAATTATTGATCGGAATTTTATATCTATTAAATGAAATATTTTTGCATAAATTTTGAAATCTAGATATTCTGATATATTAGGATTGCTTTCTCATGGATTCGTTAAGGATTCGAAAATTCTTTTATTTGAAATATTTTGCGGAGGAATTTGCGAAGTGATGATGATGAATAATTATATCTTAAATTTTAAGGTACGAGAATAATTATCGTTCTATAATAGAAAATAGATAGTTATTCATATTTTCTTCATTGAAAATTTTGAATTTCTGCAGGTAATTCTGATTTCTCTTATTCTCAAAGCAAACATTCTTTTGATTTAATTAGATTATTATGGGATTGATTATAGTAGTCTCTGATATAGATTGGAGGAATCTTTCAATAGATTTTTCAATTTATCTATCCGAATCTTAATCTTATATGAGATTTATTGATTTTTTCTTGAAATATATTCTATTATTAAATGATTCGATTTGATTCTTTCTATTATGATGAATGGAGGGTTGATTTATGATATTTAGATTTTGATAAAATCTTCATTTATTGATTTCAATAAATATGAGAAGAATAATATTTTGAATGATGAGATATTAGAGAATTTGATTGATGAAATTATTTCATTTGTTTCGATAATTTGAATTAAATCGATAGTTTTGTTCATTTATTTTATGCGAAACAAATTATTTCAAATAAATAATTGATGAAGATTTAAAAGAGAAATAGATTTAAATATTATAGATAATGAAATGAAATATTTATATATATATTCGAATAAATATATATATATTCTAATTTTGATCTATACGGAAAGATCGGGAATATATATATGAATCTATATAAATATAAAAATTCTGCAAATATATTTGATGATTTTCTTTTTTCTCTAATATTTCGAAATTTCAAAAGAAATTCTGATAATCTAAAATTTTCAATTCAAATATGATTCTCGTAGAAAGAAAGAGAATATTAATACGATATATTCTATGATATATTTTCAAATATAGATATTTCTTTTATTTAGAAGATCTTAAGATCTGATATCATTTATTTTCATATCATCTATTTTCAATTCTGAATTGATATAAGATAATATATTTTTTTATATGAAATATATATATTTTTATGATAGAATATCTATTTTGAATTTATTATATTGAAAATATTGAGCTAAACGATAGAAATAGAGATTTTCATGATAATCTATGAATATTTCTTTGGAGATTTTTGATTTTTTTCAGAGATTTTGAGAAATCTGATTATTTTCCGAGATCTTAGGGAGATGATATTAGAAGCTCTTAGAAATTTATCAGGTCTTTGGGAGATCGTTGAGACGTCTCGCAAGATCTGGAGAGAATGAATATAAAAGAATCATAATATCTGATGATCTATTCGGAAGAAAGAATATAATATCATTTCTATGAGGTTATATTTGATATATTTTAGGTCGTATATTCATTTTACGAAAATATATTGAATTCTTATTTGATATAATTAAATGATAAAGTTTTATTGAATATATATCTCAATATTATGGTCCGACCATTTGCGAGCATTTCATTTATATGCGAGCTAGCTTTTCTGATTCATCTCATATTTAAAAATTCCCTAGGGATTTCAAAATTCCGGAGATTCTAGGGTCCTTCGGAAAAGATAGAAATTATAAAATCTCCAAGGATTTTGGTAAAATCTCGGAGATTCTTGATCGCGCGATTTTTGCCTCGAAAACGGATTTCCGCGGTTTTTATCTAGCTCTTGTCATCCGCGCGGCTGCCCGACGGAACGCATAGACCCGAGACGGAGATCCAAAATCTTTCAGAATTTATATCTTGATTACAACTATCTACGAGAATTTATGCGCTCCCCCAAATTATCCGCAAATAATCCAAGAAAGATAAATGAGGCGCAAAGATCGGATTAGATAGGAAGTCCATGCGACCCGAAACCCGAAGAGAAATGAAAAATTTTCCAGAATCTATTAAATCGGTCGTTTTTTATCACGTAGAATCTTATATATTGATTATTCGTCGAGATTCACGTGCGATAAAATATATTGATAATATATATTCTGGGCGATTTCATCCCTTCTCCCCAATAATAAACGACGTCTTCCTCCTCCTGCTCCTAAGAATAAATAATCGAGAAATCAGAAATTATATATCATTAGAGACGCATTGGAAAAAAAATATTGCTAGGACCGCCTTTAAATTCCTTTCAAAATCAATCAAAATCTTTAATTAAAATTTCTATAAAATCAATTGAAATCTCAATAAATTCTTTTTAAAATCAATTGAAATCGAATTAAAATCCCATTCGAATCATTTGAGATCGAATGAAATTTCTTTTTGAAATCAATTGAAATCGAATTAAAATATAATTACAAATCAAATGAACTCGAATTAATATATCATTTTTAATCAATTGAAATTTAATTGAAATTCTTTATAAATAAAATCAATTGAAATCGAATTAAAATCTCATTAGAATGAATTGAAATCTAATTAAAATTCCTTTCAAAATCAATTGAAATCGAATGAAATTCAATGAAGAATAATTATATACGACTAAAATTATCATTTAAATTCGTATTCAATTCTTATATATATCATCTTTTATAAAATCAAAGGGAAATCAATCAAAATCTCAGATATCAAAGAGATCCCTAAAATAGATTTTCTCTCTTTAGCTATCAGCGCGATTATTCAGAAAAACGATTAAACATATCTCAAAATTTTCATTTTTTAAAATTCATTTTGATCGTCTGTGCGGCGGTTCGAGAAAACGTATAAGCTAAAATCTTTCAGAATATAAATAATATATAGGATATTAAGATATAAATAATTCGTCAGATTTCTCATATGATCTTCAATCTTGAATTCATATATCTATTGTGAAGAATTATATAAAATATTAATATCATATATATATTAAAATAGAATGAGATATTTGATAAATATATTGAAAGAATAATAGATCTAATAAATGACAAATCGATAGATAGAAAATAAATATCGAAGTATAAATATTCCAATATATGAGAAATCTTTCAGAATATTTATAAATTCTAAATATCATTCCAAAATCTGAGAAGCCTTTATTTTTCAGATCGTATAAGAAATATAGAATAAATAATCATAGATTAATAAGATAGTGCCTTCATCATTAATCTATAAATGTATTTCTCGATAAATTAGAATTCAATTAAGAAAATATTCCGTCCCAGAATTTATAAATTCTTCAAAGAATTAAGATATTTCTAATTTTCAAGATTTCTCAAAATTCTTTGACGTAAAAAAATTCAATCAATTTCTAAATTTTATATTTTCAGAAAAAGAGAGATTCTGAAAAATCTGATATTTCTCAATTGGAGGCGGAGCATAAATCTCTCGGAGATCGTAATCTCGATTATTCATAAAATTGGTATATCATAGCAAAGATAGACGGTCATGATCTTCTGATGATTCCTTTTCCCTCGAACGAGTATGAAGATGTCGAATTGGATTTCTTGGAAATCTTGAATGGCGAGATTTCTTCTTTTTCACTTGTGGTTGCCGAGATCAATATATATTCAAGGAATATATTCTTGAATTGAAGGTAAATCATCATCAGTTCAAGACGAGGAAATTCATTAGATATTTCCTATCTGCCTGGAATTATTCAGAAAATATTCTTATCGATTGCCCCATGCATCCCCGCCACCAGAAAGAGGATCCCCTGAATTTGGAATTTTGCATGTCCAGTTCCGCTTCGTTTGCGCCGTCAGTTTCTTTGGGCAGCGCAGCTTTTCGAAGCCTGCGCAAGATACTCAAGCAATCTCCAGCCCGCAGAAAGTCTCACAGCGCGGGATGACCTCCTCTTGTACAGCTCAAGACTATTACCATTATCATTATTATTGTTACTACTAGTATTCTTATTACTCCTATTACTACTATGTGCGCTACTTGTATTTCCATTATCAGCTCAAGAAAATCTACTTCCAGTTTAAAACCTACTAAGCTGGCAGCCTCTTTCCTCGTCGATCTCTTGTAGACTTTGCTCTTGGCGTGCCTGTCGAAGCTACCGCGCGCTGAGAATTGACATGTGATACTTCTTGAAATTGGGCAATTGCTGCAGCCACATGTTTGGCTAATAATGTTGCTCTGGTTTTAGTGAAGAGACCTTGACTAATGGGTTTTGGCCGTTAGGAAGACCTTGAATAATGTGATTCGATTTTGGGGCCCCAAGAAAGAAATCCTAGTCCAAGACCATCCTTTTTTGAATCAATCCCCAAAACCCTCGCAATCGCGGGAGGTTCTGAAGCTGTTGTTGAGGACGCTGAATTCGAAATTTCTAGAACCCCCTATTGTATCCTATTGTTGCGCGGAGGGGTGAAGTTTGAATACGGGTGCAACATTACTGTGCCTGACACAGTAATGTAACCCCAATATACAACCCCATAACCCCTAGTTAGTAGTTTCCATTTCATGTTCCATTATCCCTATACAAACCCCAATATTCAACCCTAATATATAACCCCTATAGTGCCGACTTCTGCCAGCCTTGCTGCGAGTTTGCACCATGTTGCTGGAGCTCCTCACGGACCTGCCAATTTGGCAGTTTCCCAAAATTAGGGGTACCCTTTTGGGGGTCCCTATAAGAAGGACTATAGTATTTTGGGGTCTATATTGGGGTCCCCTCATTTTGGGAAACTACCATTTGTGACCTTCTTGCACAAGGACTTGCTACCATATACTATAGTAGTTTCCATTTTCTTTTCCATTATCCCTATATAACCCCAATATACTATCTGAATCCTGTGCAATCTACCAAGCGCCTCAGCGCTGAGGGTGATCTCTGCAGGCGACCTACCTTGCCAGTCTGGTCTATCATCAGCACCGGCGTTGAGTAAGCGACGAAGAACAGACAGGTCGCATCGCAAAGCGGCGGTGCATAAAGGCGACTGACCATTCCCAGCCACTTGGTTCACATCAGCCCGTGCAACAATCAAGTAATCAACAGCCTCAGGCTGCCCACACGCAGCAGCGACCCACAGCGGCGCGTTTCCATCTTGGTCGGCATGATTCGTGCTTGCTCTGGCCTTGATCAAACACCTCACAGACTGCAGGCTTCCATTAGCGACAGCGCACCATAGGGCCGTCTTGCCCTCAGCATTGCACCAATCGACATCAGCTCTTGCTCTGAGCAGAGTAGACACAATGCGTGAGTGATTGCACTCTGCCGCGCTCAGTAAAGGGTTTGCGAACGCGGCTCGTCCATCCACCGGCTTATTGATGTCGGCAGTAGCTTCAATCAAGCATTCCACCACAGCAAGGTGGCCGTGCATCGTCGCTACTAGCAAGGGCGTTCTGCCATCAGAATTTGGCAAATCCATACATGCATGAACCTGTAGCAGGTACTGCACCATTCGGAAATCCCCAAGGGCTGCTGCAGCGATCAGTGGGGTCTCATCACCACCCCCAGATGCAGAGTCCCCAGAGGCGGCATTGGGATCTGCACAAGCCTGGGTCAAAGCAGCGGCAATTGCCCAACGGTGACGACCTGCAGCAATATTAAGGGGTGTGCGCCCCTTGTCACCCAGCGCATTGGGATCCTGCCCTTCTGACAGCAGCTGTTGGACGGCTTCCATCTTGCCTCAGCACACAGCCAAGCCTTCTCACAGGACATGTCAAAGACAGTGTGACCTTCTCAGTAATTCCATGAACAAGGCTCCCATGGCCACAGCGGCACACAGTTGCTCTGTTTTGTCGCAACGCAGAGGCGAAATCACCAGCTGAAGATTCACAGGCAGAGCCGAGCCATCCCAGGGGCAGCCCTGGCATACCTGGAAGAAGGCCGGTTGCTACTTCAGCAATTGCGCCGTTCCACACGAATGCTGGCAATTTCTTTTGTTCCTTTCTTCATTCTGATTGAACAAAACAATGTTGCCTTAGCATGCGGTTCGTGAAGGCGACCTTCACAACATGGTTTGCAAGTATCCCTCAGATTTCGATATGCTTGACGGAGACACCATCGAGGTCTTCCTTATCTCATTTCCTGGCTTACATGAGGCTGAGAGCGGCAAGCGTCAACACCAGCTTACCCAGGGCTGTGATCCCTTGAATGGCAGAACAAACACGTACCCCCAACGTCTCCATACGGATTAGAGCTATCATGAGCTATCTGCACATGCTTGCCTGCGCAAGTTTAGCATGAGCGTGGCCTTATCCTCAGGCCTCATGAGCCGACCCCGCATAGCTGAACCCTCTTCAACCTCGCTATACGTACCATTGCAAAAGAAAAATGACACCACATATCGTCACATGCTTCTGCGAGACTTCTGTCTCCCCCCAGAGGAGCCGCTGCCGAAAACAGGGAACGCCAATCCTCAGCCATCAAAGTATCTCTATGTAGTACTATGTAGTTGGAGGACATAGATTGGACACTGCAAGCTTGACAATTTCTAGGATGACTCCTTAAACTTCCGTGAGCTCGGTCAACATCTCAATAATTTCCCAAGGTCAGGTTTGGCTTTGCACAGACCATTTCAGGTATTAGTCACCTCAAGCGCCCTCTGCACCCCAACCCTCAAGATTATTGGACTCATCAAAAACGGGATCACAGTCTTAAAAAATCATCTGACTGTCGTGATGCTCAGAGTCTTTGGCTGCAAGTGGCTCTTCAGCGCGGCCGCGAAATTTCCGCTGAGAGCACGGAAGGTCTTGCGATCCAGCGTCGCCAGCAGATTGCCAGACAACCCGAAGACCATGATAGCATCAGCATGGTCCATTTCATGCAGGATGAAGGAAGCAGCCGTGTCTTCTTAACCACGCTAGGGGTCAGTCCTCAATTTAGAAGCTATCACATTGCGTGAGACCAGCATGATGACTTCTTCTGAAGGGCAGCGCGCAAACGCAAGGGCCAACTTGCAAACCGCACGCTTGTGATGCGGCTTCGTGCTGAAAAGGCCGCGAACGATTCCACAGCAATGAGTCTGATGGAGTACGGCGGCCATGCAGCGCTTGGAGGCGTGAAATGCGACAGGTACCAACATCTGAGCAAGGACATCCAGCAAAGCGCCATTTTCAATCCCCCAGGCCTGCGGATGCTTAGCATGAAACAGATATCAGCTGCGCTGTTGCCTTGAAGCTCTAGAAGCTCTATACCCATCTGGCACTCTCATATGCGCGGATGCCGGACAACTAGACTCCACTGACCCCGACCAACACTCAACATATCAGCCAATGAGGCTGTGCAAGCACTCCTTGTCTGGGCATCCGCTTGAGAAACTTGGATGTCCACTCTACTGCAGAAAGCCTGAAAAGAGCTTGCACAAGCTGGCACGAAAGGCGCCTGTCTGCAAAAATGGTAGTCGCATTCGGACTTCTGTGTCGGACTTGCTTTGCTCACCAGTCTTAGCTTCGGGAGGAAAGCTAGAAGGCCGACCCACCTAAACGGCCGTGGCAACTTAAACTTAAGAATGAAGCGGGTTCTATCTCAAGCTGTGAAGGATGTTAAGGTCGACGTGCTGGGGAGCAGCTTTGAGCAAATCCCGTTCCTTGCGCTTGTCAGGGGGCATGGGCTACGCCAGGAGTAGGTCATGAGCCTGATGGCATTGTGTTTCCCCGTGTTGAAGATGTGGGGAGTTTCTGCAAGAGGCTGCTGTACCCACTCCTACTTGAAACTCGGGCAGCACCAGTCCCTGCAAGATGTGCTTGCGCATGCTTACGCAGCTGCATGCTCACAATCATCACCTCCGAATGTAAAGGGAACGGCGAGCACCTGCAAAAAGCATATGCCGTTCAGAGCCTCCTATGAGAATCAATGAAGCATGCTGTACCTTTACCTCATAGAAGTGTGTTACTTCGAGCTGTCGCGGCTGCGCATGTGGTACCCGTTCTTCTATTCTAATGTCTTATTTGCCGTAAACGCAGGGTCTCTGGCTTCGGCTGCTACCAAAATACATGCCTGAGAAAGCTGCCTACATTTGCGTTCTCCGGCCCGGCCTTTTGGCAACGCCGTTTCATGGCAGTCGCCGAAAGCAGGGGGCTGCCCTTGCCCTTAGCAAGTTAGTTTCCACCAGGTACTCCAACGTAGAGGCGAGAAGCGCTCGCTCCAGGCACCAATGAGAACATCCGGTGATGAAGAAACGTTCAAACAAAGAATGGTTGGCCATCGGAGCAGTAAAGCGCAATCTGAAAGCCATCTCTTTAGCTCATTGGAACTGTTTTATGCTGAACTTACTGCTGCCAACCACACTAGCCACTAGCCTCAGAACATCGGTTCCAATGCAGGTTATGTCTTGCCAGGCTGTCGCTGACGTCGGGCCATGCATACTGAAACAAATTTCTGGATCTTCTGCCCTAATAACGTGAGGGTCAGTGGGTCAGTGTAGGAATGCCTTGGCCCAGTCGCGTGACTAGTGTATCTACCAACTTCTTAGCGCAGATGGGCTGGCAAATTCCCTTGCAGACTGTGGCCCCCCACCTATGGGGATGTCAATGAGTGCAGGTGGTGTCCTGGCCAACTGTTAGCATGCGTGTTGAAGCGGCTCGTGAAAGGCAACGCATTCACCAAGCAAATGGAGCTGTTGGCCTTGAGGGGCTGAAGACTGTCCAGGCTGGGGGTGATGCTCTGCCAGTGCAATCCTCGTAAACACTGCAAAAAGCCACGACATGCTTTGCAGGACGGTTGGTCACTACTTTCGCGCTAGAGCTGTGTCAGCATTCCACGGCACAAGCTGCAAATTACCTGAGGCGACAGCAACAGCCGCTGCGGGAAAAGGTCCTTGGCACACCGCTGCGAGGATGTCAGGGGAATCACTCACCCACTATTTTGGACGTAGATGGTACAGCTGTGCAAAAGCTCTGGACGATACGGGGTTCGGTTTGGGTCTGCGCTTGCAACGAGGCTGGCAGCAAGAGACCCCGGCGGTCAAATGTTGAGTTGCGAGCCATTCCGAGAAAGCCAGCAGTAATATGAGTAGTACATTCTGCAGCCTGTGCAAAGTTGGCCCCACACAAATCCAGCTAGTCAGTCTACAGCTGTTCATGCCAAGTGGCGCGGATGAACCTTGCGGCCAGGGCGTGCAGGTTACAACGACACGCCAGGGAAGTAACATGTGGCTTATTCTAAGCAATGCTCCATGACAAAGGCTCGGCCAGCGGCTACACTACCTTTGCCAGGGCTAAGCTGCAGGCATATAGGAAGGAGCAAAGGATGATATTGGCAGCAAGGACGGAGCGGCAGCCTCGTCAGAGTATTGCTTCATCTAACAATGCTCTGCTAGCCCGTTCTGTGCAAACAGCTGCTGCCGCCGCCGCCGCCACCGCCACCACAGCTGGAGAGAGGTGAAAGTCTGGAAGAACCGATGCAGGCTGCACTCTCTTTTTCTGCTCGACGCCGTTCAGTGCCACGGCTCTCCTCCATCTTCCTCCATAGCGAGGCTCCGAAGGTTCTGCTTGATCCTGTGAAGCGTGAGAATTCGTCTCTTCGGGACAGCACGGTGCAGCTCAGGCCAAAACTTCCTTTGGCTCATCAAATCATAGACTCTATTGCTGCAGTCTGCTTTTCACATCATCTCCAGCGGTCCTGCGTGGATGCACCTTCAGCTGATCAAGTTGAGAAATCAACAGACAAAGAACTACGTAACTTTGTGCCGCAGCGAGCCTTCGCAGTCCTCGGTCCAGCTGTAGGCAGCCGTCTGGTCTCCACCCTCAGGCAGCTATAAGTCTTGAAAGCGGGAATGCCGCATTAAGCGTTCACACACTGAATGATACACCTGAGGGCAAATGTATCGAGGTGCAGGATCTCAAGAAAGCCGTACCATGATTTAGCTGCTTTTGGCCAGCCGGGTTGACATGCCAAACGCATGCGCAAGAAGAGTTTGGCTGCCTTATAGCCTGCTAGCACAGATGTAAGCAACTCATCAAAATATTGAACCTATCATGTAAACCGCCTCTGCCAAGATAGACCTTCAATTTTTCTCTGAACTACGCTGCTGCGCAGACAAGTTGCTTGCCTGTGCCAGCATGCAAGAATTCTCTCTTATTCTTGAGGCCGAGAAGGCTTCCGGGTGTGGGGAAGCCAAAAGGTGCTGGGCCTTCTGTACTTCCACATCTGCGTGCAGCTGCAGAGTGAACTGCACGCGCTCCGGGAGCAGCTCCTCTTTTCATGTGGGATGGATTTTCCAACTTCTGGCTCTTTAAGGCTTGCGCCAAACTGACCCTGCTGCCCACCATGCCTCGTCGCGTGGCTGTGCGTAGAGCCATTTCTCGCGCAGAGGGCCGCCCAATGCAATCAACAAGCCTGCAGCAGCTCATGACCACTGAGCGTTCAAAATGCCTGGTTGATATTTTCATTGGCTGTACCAGAACAGAATCTAGCCTGAAGCCCAACGCAGCAAACCCAGCAACCCGATCTTTCAGACCAAGAGGCCTTCCTTGAGCGGAATGTTCAAGGCAACAACTTCACGCCTACCTCGACCATGATACCATGGGATCCCGTGGATATGGTACCTGAGCCGGCACGGCTGACCCACTGCACGGCTCAAGACCACGCATGCTGGTCAAAGCTGATCATGGAATTGGGTCTTCTGAATTTTCATCGGGTCCATGCATCCCGTGTGATTCTTGAATCCAACTTCCCTGTGGCATCTATATGCTATATGCTATAGAGTCACTACAATATAGGTCACCATCAAGAACGAATGCTTCTCTGACCGCCAGATACCGCTGCAGCAAGTGTCGCATTTCGGATGCCCTCTCAGCTCCAAGGTTCGCTGCTGATTGTATGCGTTCCATGGTGCAGGGCAAGTGGTGAAACACCCCGTAGGCTTTGGGAGGACGCTGCACCCGTCTTCTTCGCACTCCAACCTTTTTCCCAGCCAACCCGAGACCTCTCCCACGTGTACTCTTCTCATCGCCTTCTCTTTCATCCAACTTGTCTGGGGTTGGCAATAGGATCAATAGGGCGCACGTGGCAAATGCAGCTTGTTGTCGCCCTTTGGTGTGCGCCGCCATCTCGCTCGCACTTTTCGCACTCTCGCGCTTCGGGGCTGTTGTGTTTCTGGCACGCGAACGCTAAACCACCCAAATCCTACAGGCTGAGCTTGAATCCAATCCCTTCCCTTTCACGACGTGTCTTTTTATGATTCCCTCGCTGAGTCAGCCCCCGGCGCTGGCGGTCAACTCATGGATCTGCTTTTGGTGTTGTAGCGGTAGCCACTTCGGAGGTTCTGCTGGGAGCACATAGCAAAAAGTAGCAGACTACGTATATGGATGATGCTGAAGGGGTTCAAACCCCAGAAATTTCGGGTCTCATTTGAAGTCCTTATAGAGTCTGCTGTTTGGAGGATCAGAGGTAGGGATCATTGCTTAGCAACTCCCAGATATCCCATGAAGCTTGCAGCCGTGGACAAGACCTTCCCTCTATGTTTAGCATTGCCATCCTCACGAACAAGCTCTGGTCCCAGAACACGCTCAGCCCTGCCCAAGGAAGCTTTCCCAAGAAAACTAAGTAGCATTATTCAAAGTGACCCTGGGCTTGCTATCTTTATTGAAATGCCTAGCACACATGGCCTTGCCATCATAGGATAAAATGTGGTTGGTACCCTGTGCCTGGAGCCTAGGCGCACTCGCGTGGCTCCCACAGCCATGAGGCCAATGACAGTCTCTTTTCCCCAGCCGCAATGTGTTGCATAGGTGTGCGGCCCATCTTTGAGGTGAACACCTGCAACAGCAACAGAAGGTGGCGCTTCTCCCGATTGTAAAGAGAGCGCTCACAATGTCTTTGTGCCGTTGCTTGGCAACTAGGTAGACGACATGATTCTACTGAAAGTCTTTTCGTGCAGCAACTGGATGCTTCAACCTTGACAGCAAACCGACTCGAGAACTGGAACGGGCGAGTCTCGCAAGGATGAATCGTTTCGCGCCATTGATTCGACCCAAGCGGAGCACCTCAAACCCCCAAACTCCTGGACCAGCCCAAAGACATCATATTCTTCTCTGCTGGTGCTTTGGTGTGGGCCGATCCTCGAATTCGAGTTTCAAAGTGAAAAGGATCTTGGAGAAAGCTGCGCACGATCATGCTGGAAAGACTCTACGCCTTCTAACATGTAAGACAAAGTCGAAATAGAAACTCTGCATGCATGGGCTTCACGCCATCGCCTGGCGGCTCCCATCGGCACATGACGCCGTTCAGAGGTGCGGAGATGGCCTCAGCAGCGCGCTGGAGCACTTCCTGGCCACGGCACCGCTGCCCAGCAAAGTGCGATCATTTAACTGCCTGGAAGGGTTTTGGGATATCTCGTGCGGCCACTGCGACATCAAGCGATGAAGATGAATGTAAGCCAACACTGTCCTCCACTTTGCCTGACAGCTTCTGTCCAACATGCACACGGGGCGGTGCAACCTTGGCTGAGCACAAGCTGTTGTAATCTCCATTGGCCTCCTAGACCTGATGTTGCAGGAAGCCTTCACGCACAAAACTTAACACCTGGAGCAGCCTTGTCCTTGCAAGGAGCCGACGATTACTACTCAGTGCATCTGAAGCACCCGGCGTGTGTCTCGATAGTCGTACTCGTTACAAAGCCAGGCCTCTTTGTGCCTCTCGTTGAAGTGTGTGAAGCTTCCGTCCTGAATACATGCATGCCAGCAGCCTGTTGCGGATTCCGCAGCAGCTTCTTGTGATGTGCGACGCAGTCGCTACGGCCATTCCACTCTTTACATCACGAGCCATGAACAGCTTCTTGCTTCCCAGCAGCAGGGTTCCGCACCTGAAGGCGCAAGTCAGTAAGAAGGTGCGAAGACAGATGTCCAAGGGTTGCGCCCTGGGTTGCTTGGGTGCATCTCTATGCCATGCCGTGTTCAGCCACTTCCTTGCCCTCTGCTCCATCAAGAAGATAATCAGAAAATCCCAGCCTGCCGCCTGGGCTGCTCATAGTTCCTGATACGAGGGCTTGAATGTGCCGTAAACCTAAGGACCTGGTCTCACTTGACGCAAACTTACCCCGCAAACTTCGACCCTGGTTGCAGCACCTGCCGGCATGATGGCTTGCCATGTGAACCGTGCACCCCTCACAGAAACAAGCCCCAGCGGCAGGGCGCCGGGCAGTGTTGCTTGCTGCAGCGCGAAAATCTCCGACTTTATGAGGAAGTCAGGAATTACCTTTGCTGACCACGGTGGGAACTCTCTTGAACTGCACGCCGGTGTTGTCCGACGCAAAGGCACAAGCATTTCTCTTTTGGCCTGGTTGCCACCAGCGAGGTGTCCTTGGTAGTCAGCCAGGAAGCAACTTCAGCCACGTTTAGCCAAACCGGTACTGCCACACTGCTATGCGCAAGACAACCGTTTTGCTCCGTTGTTCACTTTGCAGGTGCTTGTTAGTGGATGGTGTGCGACAACGTGTGAAAAAGGCGCACTCGCTTGATCCAAAGCCTCGAAAGGCAAAGCAATCACAAGCGGCTCCTCCTCAATGGTTGGAAAATGTCCTTGCATTTCTACATTGACACAAGTTGGCATCAATCACAAGACCAGCAAAATGCCTCAAGATGTCTGGCTTCTTTGCTGATGCGTTGCTCTTGAAGCTGAGGCTCTGGTCTTGTCCCAGGTGTCCCACTGCACAACCTGGCAAGAAGCAAGCAACCTAATCTACCGTATGTGTGCCTTGTGGATGGCTTGCAGAAAGACGCCAAATCAGTTCAATGTCATGAGATACTCCTTTGCTCTCTGGGAATATTTGCAGTTTGTGGTTTTGGAAGGATGCGCCCAGGCAATTAGCTTATAGTATTCATTTTCTTAGGGTTCGATTCGGGAGTCTGCGCTTTGTTGAAACATGGAGCCTCTTGATGGACCACATTAACAATTAAAAAGCCCCTCGCCTTCCGGACTATCAATCCGACTTCCCATCATTGCCCCGGAACAGGTTCAATGGAGGATGTTCTTCAGGTCCCTCTGCATTTGCCAAGGAGCGCGGTAGCGCGCGCTGATCCTTGGTGATTCGCTGGGTTGAATGTTCTGTCGCAGTCGATGAGTTTCCACACTGAACGTGCCAGTTAAGAAAGCCAACCACAGCAGGATGACTGCCCATCGACGTGTAGTAGCTTGGTGTCACACAAAGCCAACACCATTTTGCCAGGATTTGTCAAGGGTCCGCTCGTGCCAAGTTCTGGTGAATCCCAGTTTGGCCTGCAGCACGCATCGAATTCAATTACGTCTTGCATGCAAAGCCCCGGCTGCCCCGAGGCTGACAATCCCGTGTCCTCTAAGCAGGCAGTGATGCTAACAATATGCTCAGCAAGGTGTTCTTGCCGAGCAAAGACTTCCTTAGCTTGTCTGAACTGTGCTCGCCCTTCGCCATATCAGCACAAATGCTTCAACAGCTGATCTTGGGATGCCTTTGGACAGATGCTAGATCTTAGCCCCACAGGCTCAAATACACGCCAAATTTCTACGTGTGGATGCTCCAGCAGTTGTAGATGAGGTGGAGCCTCGCAAATCCAAGCAAATTTGGCAGCTGGTACAGATAGATATGTGATCAAGTCACAACAGTTCCGTGCTCTTTCTTGTGGGACTTGCTCTCCTGTGTTGCCCTTTGGACTCTTGCGACACAGTTCTCAGACTGGGATACCAACATTTGATACGGTGCAAGCAAGACGGACGCAAGCTTCCCCATGTCCTAGCTTAAGCTAGCAGCTTCAGACAAGTCCAGCCTCTGAACATGGCTGGAGGTGGATTACCTGCCAGCCCATCACCTGCATCTGCGCATCACATACTAAACACCATCTTGAAAGCGGCTTATAAACTTTCAGAACGCCGAGCACCAGGAAGCAAATAATTGATCCAGTGGAGCCCGAAAGGCTTCAGACTGCTTTCTGAGCTGAGGGCCGTAAGATGTTGTGCCAAGCGTAGCCGGGAGCGCTGCCAGCATCCTACTTTACTTGCATCGCTTGATGCTTTTACACCGCATCTGTTGTCTCTGACCGACCTGTCAGTCCCAAAAAACATGTGATGGTTTCTGATAGATTCTGCCTGAGCCACCGTCAGCATACCTGTTTAAACATCTGACAATTCAAGCGCCAAACCATTCCACAGCATTGGTCCTTGCATGTGCCCTTACGAGAAGTTGGACCCATCGGAACAGCGCCTCAAAACTACCCTTTAGATTGATTGCTCAATTTTCTGCACCCTGCTGAGGCTGCAACTGCCGAACCACCCAATCGACTGAAGCTGATTGATTCCCCAAATCCTGCTCTAGACTCCAGACTTCGCAATCCCCGCCCACTTTTTGGCTGTCAGCCTAAGGAAGGAGACCAGATCCACTTGCTTCCAAGGCACCCGTGCCAAAGCTCGCAAACCGAGAAGGCAACGGGGCCTTGGGAGCTCCTCCAACTTTCCGACATGATTGGAAATTGCCTTGCGGTTGGTGAATCTGAGAGAACAATATCAACCTAGACCCTCCTCCTGCCCTCTATTAGGGCCTAAGTACCTACTATTTGGGACCATATATCCCCAATCAAGGGTACAAGCAGGGTCCTGGAATAATACTCGTCTTGAGTTGTGAGACTGGAAGGATCCCAATGTGAGGATCTCGTTTTCGGTTCCTTCCTGCGAGGAACCTCGTTTTGGAAGGTACACATGGGGAGGTTTGTTTTGAGGAATGCACCCACTACACGTTCCTACGAGCCGTCGACAGCTAGCCCCGGTCCGTCAGCGCTGCAGCTGCTTTGGCCGCCCAACTGCCATCTCCATGCTGACCAATATACCTCTCTCTTCAAAGACGCAGGAGAGCAATACTCAACATGCGAAGCCGCTCACTAAAATCCAGCGCCAGCACAATTAATCCAAACGTGCTGCAGGCACAGACCACAACCACTACGACTACGACTTGTCACAGCTGTCTTCCAGTGGCCTGTACTTCAGGCCGGCATTGTTCATGGTCTCTTGCAAGACCTTACATTTCGGTTCTGCGTCTGCTAGTGCTGCAATGTCATAGCGCACAGTATTGCTTTCTAGACCTGGCACCTGTCACACAATATCACAAGAGATTCCTTTCAAAACCGACCATTGCATCGAAGTAACGTCGCTGTTGAACCATGGCCGCTTTGTGCTGTGATCCTGTGCAGGGGGATCGAACACAAGTATGCCTGTCCATGTCAAGAAATTCCAAGCACCCATATAACCCCATTGTAGTAGTGTTCATTTTCTTTTCATTATATCTGTATAACCCCAATGAGACCCTAACGTAACCCCCATAAAAACCCTGCATGCAAGGCCGTAGCCACGTGGTAGCTTCCCTAAAAAGGGGTGCCCGCCCGGTCCAGCTCACGGACATCCAGAACGCTGGCAATGCAGCGCTGGGACAGAAGCATGCAAAGCAGCTCTGCGCTGAGGTGGCCGCAGCCACAAGTGAACACCTGTGCTATGCGTCCAGGTTACGAACATAGACCCTCTGCATGGGCTGCACACTCGCACCCGCATATGACTTGTATGTTGCAATAAGTCCGCCTGGCCTGATTTGGCCCCTGAGTTGGGCTGGCATGCGCTGGCGGCTCCGCATTCATTGGCCCGCCTTGGCCCGATGAAGGTCCACGCAGGTAACCTTTGCAGCTGTCAGCCATTGATTCAAGCAATCGACGATTTGAGGGTTTGATCCAGCTGCAGGAGCCAAGCTCGTTCCAAACCATGAATGACATGCCTGTCTTGGGCTTCCCCGCAAGCCTCCTGCAGGGACAGGATTGGGCTTCGCGTCGTTTGCCTACGCATGGGCCATGCCAAGACAGCGTAGGTATGATTCAGGTAACAGTTGTAATCAGACCTTCCACCTCGATGGGCGCGCTGGCTGCCTGAGGCTGTGGAGCTGAGATTGACAATGGCACAGCCGTCAACATCCAACAAGCTTACAATACTTCTGATGCACCTAGCAGGCTGTCTGACAAGGAAAGCAAATAGGCTTTGCCATGGCTCCTTGTCATGATGAACCCTTCCCATCTTAGGCCAAGTCACTGAGGCCTTGGTCCTGCACGCGGTTCTAGCTTCTGGAACCATGAGGGCTCCATGGGGCAATGTCTAGGCCTTGCAAAACACGACTTACGTGATGGCTTCATATCTGCCTTGAATTAACAGACAGCTGTTGATGTGACAGCCCGTACATACAAAATGGGTGTGCAGAGTCGTGCGCTACTTCTTTAACTGCTCACCAGCCGAAACGGCGTCGGGGAGGCCACGTCTCATTCAGCAATCTGGAACTGAAAATACGTTAGGCAGTGAAAGCGTACGCTCGAAAACGCCCACCTGAGGCACTCAAGTCTTATAGTCTCAGGTTTGGGATACTTTACTACAACCTGGCACAAATGCGCAAGGAAAGTGTTGCCAGCATGACCTCGCGAAGTGCCGCCATTTCGCCTCGTTGTGCATGGTTCGTTCCGTGCCGGGCATGTGCGAATCCAGGTTAGATTCGCAAAAAAAATATGTAAATGCGCGCCTGCCGCATTTTTGCCCGCATAGCCTGGAAGTTGTGCGACTGTCCTGCAAAGCAGGTTTCGAAAGGCAAAGCTTTGGCCGTAGCAATGGTCGTAGCTTTCATACTTTTTATTTGTTTAACATCTCATTGTGTCTCTTCAGTGGCTGCTGGCGGCATCTCATGTGAGAAGCGGCTTTCGCGTGCAAATCGATTCAACCCGCTTGGCATGGATGTCCTCGGCCCTCTGAATCGGAATCGCTGAGGTCTTGGAGGACTTGTCTCCCTGGATATCCTGGCAAGAATAGCTGCCGCCGAACGAGCTGCACGTTTGATGCTATGCGAACACATCAAGCGACATCGCAACCGGCAAGTTTCTCTTTTCTGGCAAGATGAAGAACACGTGCCTTGGATGCGTCGGGCACAGTTCTGCGCAATGCGCTCCTTATCTTCGCCATGGCAAAGGACATGAGGTGTAATCTTCCCTCTTTTCGCCACTAAACGCTCCGGTCCGATTCCAGCCTTTGGCAACCTCTGAACCTTGTGCATGTGATACCAGATAAGATGTAGCAACGGGATCTAGTCTGCAGAAAAATCGCTCGGTCGGAAGATGTCGGAAGCTCGATACGATATCATTGTCTGACTCAGAAGTCTAAGCTGCCGGCCTCAAGTAACCTCAGTGAGAGCCATTCTCTCACTGGTACGATGTTCTGAATCTTGCTTTGTACGAACAAACCTCCACACTCTCGAGCTCCGAAAGTGGCAGTGCGGCAGTGCCAAATTGCCACCATGCAGCTATAGAAACCACTGGCCAGCAATGTCGTGACCTTGATGCAAGCATGAATCCGTGCCCATCTATTTCTTGCTGTGCATGATTTGGCAAGTTCTGTTACGAGGCTTATCACTGGCAGCCACTTCCGATATCAAAGTCTGGGCAAACAAGAACAACGAGCATGAAGGTCTTGTCCAATGCACATCTTTCATGTAAGGCCGCCGCAGTGCCAATCCTAGCACTCAGAGTGTGAAGTGGCATGCTTGGAGCTCCAGTCATGCAATTTAGCATGCAACTGATGCAACTTGAAGTCGCACCTTCGTCAGCACGCAAGAGCAAACAGACTGTGCTCCGCACAGGGCTGTGTTCGTAATCACGTTGCCGAAGTAACGCGCT